ACTCTATAAATTCCTCCTGATCAGCCAGATCACATGGACAGTAAGGCTCGTTTCCGTACGAGGGTAAATAAGAGTGGACTGGTTGGCTTGCTCGGCTTTGACTTGGGCACAGGGGTGGGCCGATTCACGCACGAAGACACTGCTCGCTCAATGATGCTGTTCGGATGGTTGGATTGAGGGGAAGGGTAGGTTCCAATTGGTGCTCAACTGTATACACAACCATACCCATCAATCATACATCTGTTACATTGTCTTTTGTACCTTTGATTAGTTGGTGGACAGACTGCTAACACCTCACAGACAGATTAGTGTAGGGCTGTTGTATGCTACCATAGCCAGTTCTAACTAATGCTGCTGTAAGTGAACAAGTCAAAGTGCATTTAGACTATGTAGACAATCTGTCTGAATGTTGTAGACATGCCACTTGATCGATATAGTAGGGAACTTGCCAGACATAACCCATTTCTAGAAAACTAGGTGCCGGTCAGACACATGCTGCGGTAGGATACCATTAGGGGATTCTAGTGCAGAAAAAGTCTGCCTAACTCATGAGTGGATCAGACGTCGATGAGGAGAGAGTTGACGATGGTAGATTAACACGTGCAAGATCAAGTAGGATCCCGTACGTGTTCAGGACCCTAGACGAGGGAGAAGAAAGACGGCTTCGTGCCGAACGCAGAGCCCGTGCTTTCGCAGCATCGAGAGAAGCAGCAAACCTTGCAGCTAGGGAACAGGCTGCAGCAGCAGCCAGGGCAGCAGCCATGACTTCTTCAGCAGCATCCTCCGCTGCAACTTCTGCTGCGTTCTCGTTTGGGCCCCAGTTGGGAATGCCAACAGGGTCCACGGGCACTTCCAGTTCAACAGGTTCTAGACTATCTACAAGTCAAATGGCGGGCTCGCAGTACAACCCGTTGACTCCTCGCGAAAGGGAGATGAGAGAGCTCCAACAGGTCGCAAGGATCCGTGCACAGTTAGAGAAGGATCTGAAAGAGGCTACAAATAGAGAAAAAGAGATAAAGAATAGAACAGCCAGGCTTGAAACGTTAGAGTCTGACAAGGCTGAATTGGAGGGCTTAGATGACTCAGGAATGAATGAGCCCATGAAAGTGTTGAGGAACAACATGTTGTCGCTGCATGCGCATGTGGACAGCAGGTTGGACTTCATGCAGAGCACTTTGGACCAGATCCTGGACATCCTAACAAGGCCAGGATTTAGGCCACCAGCACAATCGCCGTTGCCGTTATCGGCGATGTCAGGCCTTTTTCCAGTTCAAGCTGGTTCACAACCAAGTGGTACGTCCGCAGCAGCACGGTTGCATCTTCTTCTTCGGGTCCAGCGGTGATAGCTACATCACCGCAACAACCTGTTCAGCAAACTGGACAGATGCAAGGTCAATGGTATCCTAAGACCCCAATGAAACCGCCTCTTGCCTTCTCAGGCGAGAGGAAGGACGAGGAACTCAACACATGGTTGAGAACGGTCCCGGTTTGGGTGAAGGCAAAGAGGACCTTGCCTGAGGACGAAGTGGTAACTGCTGCATCCTACCTTGAGGGTAAGGCAGCCAAGTGGCTAGATGGAGTAGTTGTAAAGGCCGGGTACGAGCGACACATGGCAGATTGGGCTAAGTCTTTGACTCTAGACCAATTCATGGAAATGGTAGAAGCTCGATGGCATAATCCACAGGAGGCGCAAATGACCACTGATGCCATTAACAAACTGGACCAACGTAAGTTCAGGTCAGTTAGAGAGCTTACGACTACCGTCAAGAGCCTGATTCTCGTTCCAGACATCAACTACAGCGATCAGTTCCTATTGACTACCTTTGTCAGATGTCTTCCAGAGAACATAAGGAACTTGTTAGCCAGTGAGGCACGCACTGAGTACCACTCGTTTGAGACATTGTCTAGGAAAGCCTTAGACTTAGAGGCCACGCTAGGCAATGCTCAACCCACCTCAGGGAATGACTCAAAGAAGAAGAAGAGTCCTCAGGAGTGGAAGAAGAAGGGGGCGAAGTTGATGATGGTTGAGTCTGATGGGACTCAAACTGAGATCGACGAGCTCTCTGACCTGATGGACTGCTCAAAGTATGACGGCGAGGAGGTAGCTGAGGGTAGCACCCTCGCCGCGGTAGTTAAGACTAAGGCGGCAGGCCGAGGGAAGGGCCAACCTAGGAGTCAAGGGAAGACCGCCTCCAATCAGACCAAACAGGCTGAGTGGGTTAAGGCAAGTCTTGATCAAGACGTGTGGCGTGACCGCCGATCGCATGGCGCTTGTATCAACTGCGGGGAATACGAACACACGCAGTGGAAGTGCCAGAACGCTAAGGTTACGCAAAAGATTGCTCCAAAGATGGGGGAATCTCATTCCCAGGCTTCTAGCTCGGGAAACGCGGAGGGCCAGTGGAAGTAGTAGCGGCTTCTAGTCAAGATGAAGTGGGCATGATACCCTCCTCACTTCATGACAAGGCCGAAGCTAATGACTCCTTAGTCACCCCGCAGACGCATCTAGACCAAACTATGCTCTGTACGTTAGATGTGTCTGAAGCCTTAGAAGACTTAGAAGGCGAGTGGTCAAACAAGGACCCTCGCGAGTCTTGCGTGGCGCTAAAGAAGGGTCCTAGAGGGGAACATTTCGTAGTGGAGGTGGATGTAGGAGGTCATAAATGTGGAGCCTTCATAGACATCGGATCCACACGGAATTACATAAGTCGCGACTGTTTGGAAAGGCTGCACCTACAGGACCGGGTACGGCACCTTAGTAGACCAGTAGCATCTACTTTGGCCAACAAGGAGCGCATGATTGTAACAGACTACATCAAGGACGTAGTCTGTACCTTCTCCTATGGAGGAGGTGAGCTTAACCATAAGATCTCGTTCTTGGTTAGCGACGACTTGCCATTTGATATGTTGTTAGGCATGTACTACCTCGAAGTTGCTAAGCCCCAGTTCGACTGGGATAAGAAGGTGCTCAAACACAAGTTGCCCGACGGCCGAACAGTCAGATTGACGAAGTTCAAGGCCAGTAGTATTATAGATACCTATGGTTGCTTGTGCGCATCCGCGTTCTACAACTACTATAAGCAAAACCAAGAGGAGGGTATGTACCTTGTTTATGTTTCTAAGAAGGGGGAGGCCGTTAAAACACCCCCAGAGATAGAACGCGTCGTTGCTAAATTCCCTGATCTGTTCGAAGAGCCCTCAGGAGTTGTTGATAGGGAAGTCGTCCACGCTATAGAAATCATTCCAGGGAGTAAGACCCCAAAGGGAAGGATCTATAGGATGGCCCCTGCCGAGTTAGATGAACTTCGGAAACAACTAAAGGAGCTGACAGAGAAGGGATGGATTCGGCCTAGTACTTCCCCTTACGGATCTCCCGTGCTATTCGTACCAAAGAAGGGGGGTACTTTAAGGATGTGCATTGATTATAGGGGCCTCAATGCCATCACTGTGAAAAACGCAGAGCCTCTACCTCACATAGACGACCTATTGGATAGGGTGCAGGGATGCAAGTACTATACAAAGATAGACTTGAAATCCGGATATCACCAGATCGCAATAAAACCTGAGGACCAACACAAGATAACTTTTCAGACTCGTTATGGTCTGTATGAGTTTGTAGTGATGCCTTTTTGGTCTTTGTAATGCGCCGGGTACATTCCAGCACGCTATGAATCGGATCTTCCATGACCATTTAGATAAGTTTGTCGTGGTCTACCTAGACGACATTCTGATCTTTAGTAAGTCTGCCGAGGAGCATGCACAACATATTGAGACGGTACTTTCACTCCTTCGACAACACAAGTATAAGGTCAACTTAGAGAAGTGTGAATTCGGTCGCACTAAGATACTATACTTGGGTCATGAAGTATCCGCGGAAGGGATTAGGCCGGAGGATGCGAAGGTGGCTAGTATTCGAGACTGGCCACGACCTCAGACAGTCACTGAGGTCAGATCATTCTTAGGAATGTGCGGCTACTATAGGAACTTCGTC